TTCACCTACATCCAGAGATCACTGTGGACTCAAACAATGATGGATGTGGACCAAACTGTACACGAATACTCAATTATGCCCAAATGTGAAGACTGGTGGAGTTTGGGGAAAACAGAATCTTGACATTTGGGAGTTGTAGTTGCTGGGATTTAAAGTTCAGCTACAATCACAGAGCATTCTGAACCCCACCAACGATAGAATTGGGCCAAACCTCCCACACAGAACCCCCATGTGGGCCACAGCAATGCGTGGCAGGGGACGGCTAGTAGTAGTAATCATCATCATCATCATCATCATCATCATCTTTATTTATATTCTGCTCTATCTTCCTAAAGGGACTCAGGGTGGGTTCCAAACATAAAAGGCAAACATTAAATGCCCGAATACAACAATACATCCATACTAACAAAATTTATACAACCCAACATATAAATACAAATTATAACTTGACCTTATGTTTTAGATGTTCACCAAGGAAAATAAGGAATTGAACAACTAACAGGTCATTTCAGATTATATGTTGCATTTGCTTCTGGAATAACTATATTTCTGGATGATCACTGGTTCTACGCCATATTTACAAATAATATGGAACCAAAATTTGGTTCTATGTCTCCTTTCTTTCTCATAAACGACAAGGGAAGAGGAAATAGCAAGAATGCAGTTTACTTTCACAGATTCCTGGCGAATTGTTATGCGTAAACAAAGAATTGTGGAGTTTTTAAAAAATCTGGCTTCTTCAACACACCAGGAAAACAACATATTGTTGGTGTGCTTGGGTTTTCTGAGAATTTACTGGAATTTATTTTAGGCTGTATATCCTGATTCATGTGTAGCCATAAGCCAGGGATTCTGGCTTACAAATTTATCAAAATGAGAGCAGAAAAGAGGATAGAAAAGCATTTAACGCAACATTTTCCATGGCTTCTTCCAAGTTGTGCACACAGTGCTAAATGATGGTTTTAAGTTTACATATAAATATGGCAGAAGGAACTCAAGAGCTAGTGTGGTATTTTGTAACACTTCAGTTGGTCCCAATAAAAGTATTGCCCAATTGAATTTCTCTACCAGTCTTGTGTCTTCAATAAAATGCAAGCCCATATGTACTAAACACATCTCTCCAAAAGCAGAGTTCACTGGAATATTAAGGTCAGGTTGTTGTTCCAGCAGGACTGGTTATCATTATCATTGTTGTCATTGTCATCATTCACTTTTCCCCAGTCGGAGACTCAAGGTTGTTTACAAAAGTTGAAAAGTTAAAGCAGAAACTACTAAGGATTTACGTCATGCAAAAGTTAAAAATACAATCAAACTATTGCTCAAGTTAAAAGTATAATAATTAAAAAGAACAGCAATTATTTTATGTATTTTATTTTATTTCACCTTTTTCCCAATATAGGGACTCAAATAATACAGCATGCAAAAATCCGCAGTGGCACAATGAGTTAAACTGCCTAGCTGCTGAACTTGCTGACCAGAAAGTTGGCAGTTCAAATTGGCAAGACAGGGTGAGCTCCCACTGTTAGCCCCAGCTTCTGCCAACCTAGCATTTTGAAAACATGCAAATGTGAGTACATCAATAGGTACCGCATTGGTGGGAAGGTAAACAGCACTCCATGTGGTCATGCTGGCTACATGACCTAGGAGGTGTCTATGGACAATGCAGACTCTTTGGGTTACAAATGGAGATGAGCACCCAGCCCACCCCTCAGAGATGAAAGAGGAACCCTTTACCTTTATCTGTGTTTCTAGGCATTGAATGTTTGCCTTTGTGTTGTGTGTGTTGGAATCCACCCTGAATCCCATCAGTGAGATATGGCGAAATACAAATAAAGTATTATCGTTGTTGTTGATGATGTTGTTGTTAGGTAAAGGTTTCCCCGGACATTAAGTCCAGTTGTATCCGACTCTTGGGGGTGGTGCTCATCTCCATTTGTAAGCTGAAGAGCCGGCATTGTCCGTAGACACCTCCAAGGTCATGTGGCCAGCATGACTGCATGGAGTGTCGTTACCTTCCCACAGAAGCAGTACCTAATTGATCTACTCAAATTTGCAGGTTTTTGAACTGCTAGGATGAAAGAAGCTGAGCCTAACAGTGGGATCTCACCCCACTCTCCGTATCTGAGCCACCAAACTTTTGGTCAGCAAGCTCAGCAGCTCAGCGGTTTAATCCTCTGCGTCACTGAGGCCCTCTATATTATTATTATTATTATTATTATGTAAAGCCCTTTTGCCTTGACCAATCAAGTATTTAATTTAACATTTATAAATGAATGTTACTTCATTTATCATGTCATTATAAAGACTCAATTTCATTTCTAAAACTAGGGTGAGATTTCTTAGACTGTTTCTTTATTTCCATGTAATGTTATGAGCTAATTAAGATTTTCTTTTCAGCAGAAATTGTTTTAGAAGACAAACAGTAACTACTTTGGTTATGAAACCAAATATACCCTGACAGGGTATAGTAAAGCCAACACTCAATCAGCTCTTCTCGGATACCCAAGGACATATTATTACATCCTATCAGATCAAGACAAAATGTATCCTTCCATAGGGAAGGGAGATGACTATGTGAAGAATCAATCAACTGATCCCTAACAAAGCACCAACAATCATAAGGACAGATGCAACATGGCTAGCAAAAATATGAATATTCCTTCTGATTTCAAAGAAACAAAACTGCATTACCAAAAGCAGATGTTGACATGTTATTAAACAAAAACAAATGCTATTTATTTAATTAATGCAATAAATTGATTTATTAATTCTTCTTGCAAGTATAAAATGAAAATATTCATCATGTATTCGCAACCTTTCTTTTGTCTTTTCTATTAAAAAAAACCCACATTGACAAATAATGCAAACTGTTCTGTCACGTGCTGGGCCTGTGACAGCTGTCTTTTCTATAGGACGTATACTTTAAGCCCAGTAGGAAGCCAGGGGGCCTCAAAGAGAGGTTCTCAGGGATTTTTCTGAAGTAATGGTCTTTAGAGTCTTTAATGATACAACAAAGTCTTTATTATGGAACAAACAACAAATCTTCAATGGTTCAAACAACACTTCAATACTTTCTTAGTCTAGTCCTCAATGGGCTGGTACCTGACTTTGATTAACTGAACTTTCTCTGTAGGAAGAAATCCCTTTTTAACCTCTCCCAGGCTGCTTACTATCTATGCCTCATCAGTGTGGGTCCTACTACCGATTCCAAATGCATCTGGGTATCGAGTAGACCTACCAGCCGAGACTTGAAGGTATTTCAGCTGGAGTTCCGTGGATCTGTAATGCGGTCCTCCCTCAGAGAATTCTTTGAAACTTCAGGGCTGTTTTCCCTCTGATGGCTGTGAGGCTGAGAGGCTGTGAGCTCTCAGCCAGAGCCTTGGGACTTTTCCCTGGAATTTCTGTTTCTGTTTCCCTGGATGTTCTGTTCCCCTGGATGCTCTTGGGAAAAGAAGCTTTTCTACGGGATGAGCTGGTCTGCGTCCTATAGTTTAGCTTCCTTATGAGAGACTGACCAAAAAATGACTCCTTTCCCTCCCAGAGCCCTGAACAAGGGGCAGAACCAAAGCTTAATTATGATGGACAGGAGGCCTGCTCTATGACTGCAAACAGATAATAGAAAGAAAAAAAGTTCGAGCTCCTGGTACAGCCGTACCAGCACACAAACATTACAATAATATAACAACATCATGCAAGTTTATAAAATTAAAACAGCACTAACATCTGGTATAATATTACCAGAGAATTTATTGGAAGGAGGGAATAGCAGAAAACTTCATTTGAACAAGTTCTGATGGGGAGGAAAGTCACTCTTGGACCAAGTAGAGACCTTCAGTGTGGCAAGGCTTTCATGTGATACATTGACACCAACATAAAAAAAATTACCTGTCTACCATGCTCATCCACTGTACATCATATACCAGCAGTTTATGGATCAGGGCCTTTGTAGGTTATCTCACATGATTCATATGGGTAAAGGTGATTCTTTCTTTTATGCCACTCATGTTTTTTTCAGATTTTAAAAAGGTCAAAATTGTTGCTTGGAACATGGCAATTCTGAGTGACAATATAAGATGCCATTATTTAGATCTATCTTTGATATTAACTGCAATCACAGGGCTCGTAGTCCTCCAGGGATCCCATTTTGCCCATCACTGCTGATATTTCAACAGCCATTGTCAATATTGAGTACTATCCCAGTGTCCACTTTTTTCATGTCAGGAGTGACTTGAGAAACTGCAAGTTGCTTCTGGTGTGAGAGAATTAGCCATCTGCAAGGACATTGCCCAGGATGTTTTTGATGTGTTACCATCCTTGTGGGAGGCTTCTGTCATGTCCCCACATGAGGAGCTGGAGCTGATAGAGGGAGCTCATCCACGCTCTCTCCAAATTCGAACCTGTGACCTGTCAGTCTGCAGTCCTGCTGCCACAGAGATTTAACCCACTGTGCCATCGAGTGCTCCACAGTGTCCACTGAAATTACAGTATCCATTGAAATTCAGTGACTACTATGATGGGTTTATGGGGCAATAACTTTCAAGGAGCTGTCCAAGGTACTGGAGTGTAGAATTTAGCATCCTGGATAGCTCAAGTTCAAACTAAAAGGCTGGAGGGGGGCTTTTTTTGGTCTTATATATATATATATATATATATATATATATATATATATATTGTATTAAATACTGTTTTAGCTAAATGTGATTTTATTTTATTTTAGGAACTATTTAAGGTCCCATCAGGAGAAAAGTGGGATTTGAATTAAATAAATGATTTAAAAATTGACGCAGCTCAAATTATGCAATTTTCTCTTTTCAAAACATGCCCATTGACCCCTTATTGTGTAAGCCAGTGCCTTAGTCTGAAAGGAAGTGTAGAGTTAGATATATCTGGGTGAGAAGAAAGGAAAGTGAGAGCTTGACTCCTCACCCTCCTGAAATGTTTGCATTTGAATTTGTCAGGTTAAGAAAAACAACATAACTTTAAGAATTGCTATTTTTTTATTTCCCTCTTCAATCTTTTCTTCCTTTAATATTATGCCTTTTCAACAGTATGTATATCGAAACAAAACACCACTAGGTGACAGCACTTACACAGATATATACATCTAAATGAAATTCAAAAGGGGAAGAAAGCGACAAATCAGTTGAGAGACATCTCATTTTCAAACCTACAAGAAAAAAAACACAATCACCATATTTAAAGCAGTTATTACCTCATCACTGTTGCGGTAGCATTATTAGACATGCTTTTTATCAATCACATTGCTTTCGGATCTTCTTTCCTATCAATGGTCTGAGCCTACTCTTTCTTCTCTTCTTGTCTCCTTTTTCTGAACTAAACTGGCAAAGTATATACAGGGGGAATGGGGAGATGATAAGCAGGCTGTGGTGGCCTTCTGTTTACACTGAAAAACCATCTGAACCCCCTCCCCAAACTGGTTCCAACACAGCATCGCTTTGCTGGAGCCATGGACATCTTGAAGATTATTGTCGCGATACTTGTTCCAGGGCTGCTGGTGACAGAAGTGACATCAAGGATAAATAAGCCTCCCAGTCTATTATAGACACATTCATTGCTTGGAAAAGTTACCACTTGGATTACAACTCCCATAAGTCTCCTGAGGAGGGATTATTGAAGTTGTTATCTGAAAGTCCCTTTTTTTCAAGCACAGGAAATGGTAGATTGTACTCTGGGACCCAACTGAACATACCTAGAGTTGACATATCTTGGCCACTGTGAGTCACTTTATTTAATTTTTACCCCATCCTTCATCCAAAACAGCAAACATAGTCTTCACATGCTCACAAAATCCTGTTTGGTGCATTTAACCAGGAGATTGGGTAGCCTTTGTTCACTGAACAAGGCCGATTGGGGACCCGAAGCTATGTTTCCCCAATGTTACTCCAACTATCTCTCTGATGTACCTGACAAGTTTCATATTAATACGGACAGTGAGCCCTTGGTATCCACTTGGGTTTGGTTCCAGGACAAACGCTACTCCATGGACACCAAAATCTGTGCATGCTCAAGTTCCATTATATACCATTCAAATAATTGCCATAGAGAGTCTGAGGATCTATGAAATCTTGGGAAGCTCCAATGGGATATGGATACAGATCAGCTTAGTGCTTGACTCATAGCAAAAACAAGCTTTGGTTGTTTTGTTTTGTTTTTTTCAAGTACATGTCACCTATCACAAAATACTACTGTTCTACGCCACCTATCAAAATTGCTTTATTATTTTTCAAGATATTCCCAGAGGCAAGTGTTGAAGATAATGGCTTGATGGTTGTTCCAGGACTGCTGGTGATGGGTACAAATTAATTTCAGTTCTATTAAGAAATTCTAGAACATAGATACTAATTGTACTAGAGGGGACGTGGTTTTAAAAAGGGAATTTTCAGAGATGTTCCCAATGCCTATATGTCCTGATTTACTGTCTATTGGCCTATTTCTGCAGTGGGCCTATGTTTACAGAAAATGCAGAAGAAGTTACTATTCAAGGATAACAGTACATCCGGACAAAACCAGCTAGCGGGTGGCTAGTTAGAACCCCCGAGTTTGCCAGTCGCTCTGAAGTCATGTTTGCAACAGACTAACAGATAAGATACAGTCATGGTCATAGAACAATAGACTACAGTTGTGCCATAGTTGTGTCATTGTTAAGATTCCACGTGTGCTATTATGTCAATCAAAATCATAAACAACTAATGAACAACTGTATAGCTAGCTTAGACCAATGAAATGATTTGTCTTTGGGAATCAATGAAAATGTATTTTCCATTTACTACCAAAGTGATAAAAGCTCTGCAGCCCCATTGGGGGTGCATTCCTGTATGCTTATTTGTCGTTATTGCTATGGCCACACAATAAATAGTTTTTTTGCAGTTTAAAAGATTCAACTTTTGTAGTGTCCATCCTTGCCCTCCCCATTGGAAAGGGGACTCCTGCTGTTTTGGGAAATATTTTGGTTTCTTTGCCCCTACAGTACTAAAATCAGTAATGTTATTGTTTGGAAATCACTAGCCTTGGAGACTCAAAATGATTTGTGAAGATTTTTCCTTCATCCATAAAGACTGTTTTAATTCCACTGTGTTGTAGTCTGCGTTAAGTGTTTTGCCAGGGGTTTTATTGTTTCCTTTTTGCTCTGCTGTGCACCACTGTTGGTTTGTGTTTAATTACTGGTTTATATTGTGCAATTGATTTGATTTATGGTGCTTTATTATTTTCTGGTTGTTGTATCTTAAATTCTTTGGAGTGGAGGTGGCGCTTCAGTGAAAAAGCAAAAAAAGGATGAGAAGGAAGTCTTGGGATCAACCATTATGTTTTTAGTCTCAATCTGGTATTATTTGTTTTATTAATGAACCTAAGGCCCCTTCTATACCGCCATATAACCCAGATGATCAGAGCATATAATCCACATTATCTGCTTTGAACTGGATTATATAAGTCTACACTGCCAGTTCAAAGCAGAAAATCTGAATTTTATATGGCAGTGTAGATGCGGCCTAAGAGTAGTAATTGAAAGGACGATGCAATTTTTGTTGATCCAACAATTTGGAGGTGGGCAACCTATGACTCTCTTAAGGCAGTGGTTCTCAACCTGTGGGTTGGGACCCCTTTAGGGGTTGAATAGCCCTTTCACAAGGGTTACCTAAGACCATTGAAAAACACATATTTCCAATGGTCTTAGGAACTGAGACACTGCTAACTTTTCCCCCCCTTCGCTTTTCAGAGGCCTCTTCTTCTCTGGAGGGAGGTGGTGATGTAACTCAGCCCTGCCCCTTCCATCATTTTAGAAGGAAGAGATGGGAGCAACGGAGGTGAGGTTTGCTTTGGAGCCAAGAGGGAAGAGGACGGAGGAGGAGAAGTAGGTGGAAGTAAGAAGAAGTTGAGGAGGGGGCTGGGGGGAGGGAAGGGCTTAGAGAAGGGTGGAGTGCCCCCCCCCATGGCTGAATCCCAGGGAGAAAGAAAAGTAACAATGAAAATACATCCTGCATATCATATATTTACATTATGATTCATAACAGTAGCAAAATTACAGTTATGAAATAGCAACAAAAATAATTTTATGGTTGGGGGTCATCACAACATGAGGAACTGTATTAAAGGGTCACGACATTAGGAAGGTTGAGAATGGCCGTCCTAAGGTTTAGAAGTCCGGGTCACAAAAGCCAGCAGGGTCTGTAGTAAAGGATGGTGCCAAATTTTCCCTGCCCTGCCATTAGTCTCTTTTTGTTGCTTATAGAGTAGAGTCTCACTTATCCAACATAAATGGGCCAGCAGAACATTGGATAAGCAAAAATGTTGGATAATAAGGAGAGCTTTAAAAAGTCTATTAAACGTCAAATTACATTAAGATTTTACAAATTAAGCACCAAAACATCATGTTTTACTACAAATCGACAGAAAAGGCAGTTCAATACACAATAATGTTATGTAGTAATTACTGTATTTACTAATTTAGCACCAAAACACACAAGGGTTCTTTCTTTCTCCCACCCTAGGCTGCGTTGGATAATCCAGAACGTTGGATGAGTGGAGGTTGGATAAGTGAGACTCTACTGTACTAATGAATCAGCCCACACAGACAAGACCTCCTTTTATTTTCATTTATATAGCCAAACCTGAGAGGATGTATGTCTCATAAGAATCATGTTTAGAAGAAGCACATTGTGGAAAGACAGAGGAAACAGTCAAAGGCATGTGAACAACTGTCAACTGTGGGAATTTCCATGTTGGTCGCACCCTCTGCCTGAAGGTCTTCTGGCAAAGCTTAGAGAGGTTTCAATCAAAAAGAGTATTGTACCTGTAAGCATTCCAGCTTATAGAAAATCAAAATAAAAAAGTCATGGGATGCACATTTGTGCCATTTATCTGGGATTCAGAACAGGAACACCGAATGCTGCACTAGGAATACTGTTTCTAAATATTCTATCAGCACTATGATTCTACTTTAACTACCAGAGCAATATCCTAGGACCAACAAGAGTATTTTGAGTGTTTATTGGATGCTACCATGGCAGGTAGCCCAAGTGGAATCATGTATAGTGCAAAAGGGACCCAAATCAATCCAAACATATAGTAAACTGGTTAGAATATTCCCTTCTGGAAGCAAGGCCCACTGTTTTAAAAAGAAAATTTCTTCACCTTTTGCATTGATCAAAGCAGTGTTGGGAACAGTCAGAAATCCTCTTTTCTCACAATCCCCTTTGACAGCTTTATTTATTAGTACTGCACTAGTTGCTTTTATATCCTTAATTTTTCACATAATCGAATGGCCGGCTTCAGTACTTAACTATTCTATTTCTGCAACTGAGCCCTGCAGTACTGCTGGACCTATCAGACCCAAGGTTACTGGTATTAAAATATCAGAATGTATACGTGCCTGTCATTTTTCTAGTGGGTGAGGGGACTTCAAGCTAGAAGACCGATTGTCAGCAACCCCCAGGACACAGGACTCATCAAGGACTTTGGCCCCTTCTACACTGCTCCATGTCCCAGCATCTGATCCCAGATTATCTGCTTTAAACTGTATTATATGAGTCTCCATTGCTAGGTAATCTGGGATGAGAAGATAATCTGGGATCAGATCCTGAGATATAGGGGCAGTGTGGAAGGGGCCTCTGTTTACCCACTTGACTGACTTCTTGGTTTCACAAGCCTCAATCTTTGGTCCCTTCCACACAGCTATATAAAATTCACATCAAACTGGATTATATGACAAAAGGAGTATTGTACCTGAAAGCATTCAAAAAGAGTATTGTACCTGTAAGCATTCAAAAGGAGTATTGTACCTGTAAGCATTCTCAGCTATTCTCTCTTCCCACCACGAGATCCTCAGCCTCATTCTGTGTCATCAGCCAATGGAAAGATGAATCCCGGAAGGCACAGCTCCTGACCAACCAGAGGAAGGAGTGAGAGGTTTGAATAGGTGTCAAACTGTCAAACAAAATGTGCTGCACTCTTCCATATGGATTATTATGATCATGCTGTTCTGACATCCATCTAGCCAGTTGAATAAACCTCTGTTTCTGCTGTTGATGGAGCTCAGCCTGTGATTGTGTTTCAGGATCAGGGTGCTTTGGATGTGGGGTTGATGTCAATGAGTTTCAAGATGGCAATGGTTTGGTCAATGATACTGATGCAGAGAATGACCAGGAGATCCCTGTTCAAAGTGTAGTTTCCCATGAGAAAGTCCCTGAAGGTGTGGGGATGATGGTGTGCTCCCTGAATTGCTACCAGAGAGTCCCCATGATTAGCAACGTGAAAACAGCTTGGCACCAGGTGCAGAAATTAATGAGCAAATAGACAGGAGGAGATTAGTCAAAACAGAAAAGCCGAACAGTGGGTTCGGCATTCTGCCAGGCTCCGAGAGAAAAAGATAAAGAGATTCTAAGGCAAAGCGAAACCAATTCCTGAGCACTTTGGGACACAGTTAACGAGGAGATAAAAGTCCCAAGTACAGGATATGTAGTCAGATGAAGCATCGTTTGGAATCAAATCAAGATCCTGTCTTTGTTTCATGGAAGCTTTGCTTGGAAGATTCATGTTTAAGTGCCATTTGTTTCATGATTTTGATTCTTGGATTCTAGGATTTTATATTCATGCCTTGGATTCATGTTTCCTGGTTTCTTAGATTTTATTAGAAAAGTTTTGACTTTGTTTTCATGAACTTTGCTGGACTAAGTTCCCTGGACTACTTTGTTCCTGCTTATCTTCTTACCTAATTGGATTTACCTATTTCTTTAAAGTGCTTTTTACTTTACTGCTTTTTAATTATCTTCAATAAAAGGATTGTTTTTCCTACCCAACAGTGTGAGGTTTAAAGTCAGAGGGCTTTTCCGGTTCTGGAGTGCAACAGCTGCTTCTACTTGGTAGGTCTCCTTGATCCTGATTTCAAAGTGGCGGTGCTCACCCACTATTTCTGGTGGCTAGCTGATCTTGGTAACAAATTGAAATGTCAAGACTGCTGTGTAGGTATGGTGTAATTTTAAACTGAGCTAACGAATTTTAAGTGTCCAATGTAACAACCAAACATGACTTCTGGAGGAAAGGAGAAGAGATTTGGATGAAACAGACTGCCGTTCTTCAGCATAACTGCTGTGGGTGCTACTGTTGCCATAAAATAGCCTAGCACCCCATGAAAGGCCTTTGACCACAATCCAACACAACATCCTAAAATAGCATGGTGTCGTTATTTTACTATTGAACTAGGACTCCTGGAAACCAGATTCAAATGCCCACTCAGTCGCGGAAACTCACTGGATGGCCTTGGGCAAGTCATACTTTCTCAACTTTAGAGGAAGCCAGTGGCAAACCTCTGAAGAAATCTTGCCAAGAAAACCCTGTGATAGAGTTGCAGTTCATCAGAGTTAACCTGAAAGAACACAACACAGTGTACTTATGACCACTTATTTCACTAGTTTGAGAACAGCTTATACTGTATTGGATAGAGGCCTTTATTGTCCAGTCACCTCATGGGATTGGAATGATCTGTAAGGTGATTGTTGTTGTGGTACGGAGCTTTCCACCTCTGAGCAATTCACACACGAGTTACTACAGGTTGAAAATTACCAAATGTTCTAGTTCTGAAGGTACAACTAAGCCCTCTTTTGTTTTTGCTGCATCAGGCTTACATGGCTACTACTCTGAAAATTGATAAAATTAGATATATGTGGAGGGGATAGAGCCCCCACTAGCTGTAAGCTAAATTGGCTATATAATATAAATTGCTGCTGTACATCATCAGAGAGTTCAGCTGTAATCCGAAACACACTTACTACATAGTTAGCTCTCCTGAACACAGTGGGACATAATTCTGAATAACATGCATAATGTTAAACTCTTAAGGTAAAGCTCTAGAGCTATTATTTCCTGGAGTGAAAATGTTTAATTCTGTTTTTCTACCCTTACATGGTTTGAATCAAATTGGTTTTATGAGCTGCTGCATGCTTGAAACATTTCCTAGAAGAAGAAAAACCGCTCTAAATATAATGGCCAACACCGCTGCAATAAAGACACAGATGGCTCTCAAGGGCACTTGATTCTAATTAATATAATATGCTGAAATACACGGAACCAGTAATATCCACTGCCAATTTATCTCTGCTATGCTCCAAAACAATTTTACCAGGTTTTCTTGTTAGTTCATTGGCATACTTCCTGTAGTGCTAATCAAAAGGGAGGGAAGTTAATGTTGCAATCTCACCACTAATTTAATTAAATTGGGGTTGGGAATGTTGAACTCCAGCTCATTTCAGTCCAAGCCAAGAGAGCTACTGGTCAGGGGTGGGATACAGTCAAACAACTTCTAGAGGGCAACAATTTCCACATTGTTCATAATTTCTAGTAAGTAAAGCACTGCTTTTCTGTGTTGGTGGGACTTCATTGACATATGAAGCAATAATAATAATAATAATAATAATAATAATAATAATAATAATAATAATAATAAGCGGCACACTGGGTGCAGTGCCTAAAGACCTTGGCCTGCACTTAAACACAATTGGCACTGACAAAATTACCATCTGCCAGCTGCAGAAGGCCACCTTACTGGGATCTGCATGCATTATTCACTGATATACTTCGCTTGGGAAGTGTCTGACGTGTGATCCAATACAACAGCCAGCAGAGTGTCTGCTGTGGACTCATCTTGCTGTGTTTCAAATAATAATAATAAACTTTATTTGTAGACCGCCCTATCTCCCCAAAGAGACTCAGGGCGGTTTCCAATACAAATGACTAATATTCAATGCCAACAAAGAACATATAAACAAATTACATCAAAATAAAATACATCAAAAAATATACAAGCAATTTAACTATAAACATAATCTATATAAATAAAAATGTAATGTTCATTTGTGGGATTAACATAACTCAAAAACCACAGGATGAATTGACACCAAATTTGGACACAATAAACCTATTAGGCCAACAAGTGACCATTACTCATAAAAACACTGAAAAACACAGCAGAAGAGACTTAAAAAGCCAAAAAATGAAAAATACATTACAACACATACGCAAAACCACATATATAAGCACAAACACACATATATACACATATACACACACACAACATATATACACAGACTGGACCACAGCAACGTGCGGCAGGTGGCAGCTAGTACCAAATAAAAATTAACCAAAAATACAGCTTAAATAACCCAGCAAGAGGCTATGCTGCTGGTAAACGCGCCAGGAAGACTCCAGCAATACCTTAATGGCAGCCGGGTAAGTTGTTTTAGATTTTAATACTGTAAATAAATAAATAATAAATAAATTTGCCTGCACTCAAACTTTGCCCTTTCCCTACAGAAATCATATCCATGAATTCTGCATTCATGGATTCAACAATCTACAGTTTGAAAATATTACAAAAAATCCCGAACACAAACTTTGATTGAATCATTTTATATTTGGGGCACAATTTTCCTATGCCATTGTATATATTGGGACTTGAACATCAACGGATTTTGGTATCCGGAGGCAGGGGGGGAAAGTCCTGGAACCAAACCCCAGCAAATATCAAGGGCGCATTGTACCATCTTTATTCAGTTTAACTTTACAAGACAGCCAAAACATGGAATTTTACAAAACTGGAAATGTCACTTGCTTCTGCTTCTCCCACAGAGAGAACCCAAATTGAAACAAACAGTGTTCAATTTGCAAGTGAACATTTCAGTTGCCCATTTCAATAGTCCTCAAAATCCCATCTCAAAATCATGGGACTCTCTGTGACATACAAGAGACTGATACCACAGTAAAATATCCCTACTTCACCCCTTCCGTGTCCTCAGAAATTTTTGTTTTTTCTCTCTTAGCAACCAATAAGGCACTTAATACATTTTAATGACCCAAAACATGAGATGAATTCCTCCTGTATTTTTTTTTTTGTTCCTTTCTGAAGCGGGGAAGCATCTGGTTTATTCTTGTGGTTGCTATGAAAGCAGCACAAACATTCCCCATAAACCATTTTGACAGAATTATGAAGCAAACCTTGTTTCAAAAAGCCCTGTGCAAAGATAAATATATCACTGCCAACATGTGGCAGAACTGGCATGCTGCAGTGTCAGGACACAAGACCCATGCTCCGTATTTACAAGGCTTGGCAGGAACTCAGTAAAAAAAATTGTATAAGGACTACAGCAAGAATCTCGCAAACATAACAAGTTTAAACAGGATTCCAACAGACTGGTGGCTTGCATTGCATAAGCATCTTTTATAACCAAGGGAGGAAATTATTTAGATTCGAGTGCAGTAAACAACATGGGCCTTCTGAGACACTGAGGATACAAGCGACAATTTATTTCTACCATGGCAAAACAATTGTATTTTTAACAGTGGTCTTTTCATTAGTAAATATGAAGATAACCAAATAAGCCTCCAAAAACAGTTATATAATTGTTATCACTAACAGGAAAGATGCCTTCTTGGATTAATATATTGGCATGGAATACAGCAACAATTCATTGCCAGCAAGAAGATGGAATTATCCCAAACAGAGTCTTGTCTGACTCAGTAATGCTAACCTGCAAAGCACCAGAGAAACTAAAGAAACTAAAATAAAGAAGGAGGAAAACATTTCCTGGTGCTGACCAATCAGGAACAAACATCTAAAACCCAGGAACAAACCCAGATTAAAAAAAATCCCCATGATTTCTGATTGAAGGGACATACAGACATGTGAAGATCTGCATTCTGGGCTCAAAACTGTGATGTTCCCACACCTGGAAATCTCACGGTTTTTGCCTTTTGTAGCAATTGCTTCCATGTTTACAGGAAACAGCGTCTGGTCATTCTCCTGTTTACTGTGAAAGCTCTGTGATGAAGGTACTTCTGGACGGGCCCTAACACAGCACTCCCACCCTGATTATTTATAGTTTTCCAAG